TACTACAGTTGCGCCTTCTGGGGCTCTACTAAAAAATGTAGCCCTTTGGAGTAAAAAAATACTTCAGACTAAATATACCAGCAAAAGGAAGGGAGGGAGAGAAACCCAGAGAAAAAAAAAACACTGCACAATCTGGAGAAGACAGTCAGAGCCTGATGTGCATTCAGATCACTTGCTTGAGTTCTGACCACGGGAAAGGCAGGCATTTCACAAAGCACCTCAGAGACTTAGCAGTACAGGCCTTATGGGGAAAGGCCGGTGGGATTTGTTCTCTTCAATCACACAGGCCCTTCTGAAAATTTTCAACAAGATGCCTGAGTTTCCCCACAACAAGGGCTATCTTTCAACAAGATAGCCTAGTGGTAAGGCAGTTTGCACTGATGAACAGATCTTGTCCCATCTGTTAGGTGTCTGTGTGATCCCCTTGCAACATGCTCCAGTTCTTGAACAAGCATTAACATGCCTGCTTTTGTGGCAGGCCAGTGCCGCACCCTGAATCCCAAACAGCAGCGAGCCCCTTTGCATTTACTGCTTTCCAGGGACTCAAGCAGGGTGGAACAGGATCACACATGGGCACCTAAGTCTGCTTAGGCGCATAATAGCTCTAATAGTGTAATTCTCTGAATTATCATTGAATTTCAAGGGGATTGGGGTGTCTTTGGAAATCCTCCAGCTTCCAGGTGTCCATCCTGAGACAACAGTGCCCACGAAGACTTGCATTTGTTTGTTTAGTGAATCAGGGCCCACAAAGACTTTGTTGATGGCTACTGCCAGGCCCTTCTCCAGAAGAAGGAAGAAGAGAAGGAGACGGAGATAGTAGCCAATGAGAAGGCCAACCAAGACCCACCCAGAGCTACCTGGATGACAGTTACTTCATGCTCCAAGAAAGTAGGACCAGGGTTACTCCTCCCCTAGCCCTGCACAACAGGTATGCTCCCCTCCCCACGCAGGAGGCGGCTCCGATGGTGACACCGGAGGAGGAGGAAGGTGAGCAGTCTGCTGCCACCCCCAAGAGGAGGTGCCAGGTAGTAGTGGTGGGTGCCAGGTAGTTAATGCAAATTAATGGGATCCCATTGCAGTCAATGGGGCCAAACCCTTAGCTGGTAGAAATTAGCCATCAGACCTGGTCAGGTCAGAGTTTCAGCTGGCATAAACTGCCCATTGAACTATGCCGCCAGTCCATCAGGTGATGTCAATCAGCCACATATTTATGAAGATGAGGCCAGGTTCTGTCTGCTGTAAATTACTTTCATGCTTCTGAAAGCAATAGAACCAAGCTATAGTAAAACTCATCAAGCTTTACCTAGAGAAGACAAATCATCATTGCTGCAAGACCTGCATCCCAGGGCTGGGCCTTTGCAAACTCACAGGGCTCTGGGATCATGTGTCAGTGCCCAGGGCTCTGGGGATCCCAGGAGCTAGAGGGTGAGCATACCATCAACATTACTACAGATCTGTTGTGAGGGATAGCTTTTCTTCCAGGGGGGATTTGCCCCCCAAAAGATAAAACCACTATCTTTTACCAGTTCATCTAGGGGAGGGGTGGGAAGGGAAGCAAAACAAGCTCTGCTTTCCAGTTGGTCCGTCTTTGGATCACGTACTAATAATTTTATAATTAATACTTTTCTCCCAAATCCCCCCTCCCCTTCCACCTAACCCTGCAAGAGTCAGCACAGCCAAATCTAAACTACTGCAACAGCAGATGACAGGAAACAGAGCTGTTATCTCTAGTTTTAACAACAGAATGGACTGCTCCTCCCCTGTGAGGGGTGGGATGAGGGAGGGTTGTTGTGGAAAAGGGAACCTGCCCTCACTGGAATGATTTCACTTGTTGCTTTCACGTGAAGGGATTCACAGAGCTCCAAAGAGTTACCCCAACAGATGCAGTTAACTGCTTGCAGCTGGGGGGAGCCAACCCCTGCAACAGCCCCATCCCAACTCCCTGCTGGGTCCCAGTGTTCAGCTATAAGCCTTCACTGTGCTCCATCCCTTATGTACTCGCATTGATGGCAATAAGACTATCTGTGCTTGCTCCTTGGGGTCATTCTTGACTGTGATGATGTAGTATAGCACTGTGGGAGCCCCATGGTGACAGGGAGGGGAGAGAGAGGAGCTTGCCCTTTGGATCAGCACTGATCCCAGGCCCTGGTCTGGCACTGGGGGTGCTGTGTTCCTGGGTGGACATTGAGGGTCTGTAGGGGGAGTTCATCTCTCAGAGTCAGTGCTGACCCCAGTGTCCCTGGGGCTCTCCATTGCAGGCTGTGCAGTAGGGGAAGCTCTCCTTTCATAAGCAGTGCAGACAGGTTAGAGAGATCCAGACCACCCATCCAGGGCTAAGGGATGCCATGCTGTAGGGACTGGAGTCCCTCCATGTCAGTGCTGGATGCAGATCCCCAGTTCAGTGGCAGGGGTGCTGGGCTGCAGGGGTGGGGTGGCAGCTCATAGGAGGTGCTCACATTGTGGGGCAGTGCTAAACAAATTATGGAGGGCAGGGAACGGTGGGGGACACTGGCAGGGACCTGCGCTGCACATTCACAGAACAAGACACAGCTGGATGCACCAAAGTGATGGCAATCTAAGCAGACAAATGGGAGGGGAGAAGCAGCGACGAAGTTTCATAGTTTCACAGTTTCATAGTAGCTAGGGTCAGGAGGGACCTGAACAGATCATCTAGCCTCACCCCCTGCCACAGGCAGGAATGAATGCTGGGTTCACAAGACCCCAGACAGGTGATCGTCCAACTTCCTCTTGAATTTGCCCAAGGTAGGGGCGAGGACCACCTCCCTGGGAAGTTGGTTCCAGATTTTGGCCACCCTAACTGTAAAATATTGCCTTCTGATCTCCAACCTAAACCTATTCTCCATCAGCTTATTACCATTGTTCCTCATCACCCCAGGTGGTGCTGGGGAGAAAAGGGCTCTGCCTATTAGCTGTTGATCCCCTCGATGAGCTTGTAGGCAGCCACCAGGTCCCCCCTCACCCTCCTCTTGCTGAGGCTGAACAGGTTCAGGTCCCTCAGTCTCTCCTTGTAGGGCCTGTCCTACTGCCCTCTCACCAAGCGGGTGGCCCTCCTCTGAACCCTCTCCAGGCTGGCAACATCCCTTTTGAAGTGCAGCACCCAGTACTGGACGCAGTACTCCAACTGCAGCCTGAACAAAGTTGCATAGAGGGGGAGTATCACCTCTGTATGTATGCTGTGGATTCCTTCTCCCAAGGTGCAGCACCCTGCATTTGTCTACGTTGAACCCCATCCTATTCTCATCTGCCCACTTTTGTAGTCTGTCTAAATCTAGTTGCAGCCTCTCTCTCCCTTCAAGTGTGTCCACCTTGCCCCACATCTTAGTGTTATCAGCAAATTTGGACAGTGTGCTTTCCACCCCCTCGTCCAAGTCACTGATGAAGATGTTAAACAGTGCGGGCCCAAGGACCGAGTCCTGGGGTACCCCACTGCTCACATCTCGCCAGGTTGAGTACAACGCATCCACCACTACTCTCTGGGTGCGCCCCATCAGCCCATTTTTTACCCATCTAACTGTGCAGGCATCAATGCCACAGTCACTTGATTTATTGATGAGGATGAGGTGAGAGACAGTGTCAAAGGCCTTCTTAAAGTCTAGAAAGACTACGTCCACAGCAACACCATCATCCAAGGATTTAGTTACTTGGTCAGGCAGGACCTGCCTTTGATGAACCCCCATGCTGATTGCCCCTGAGCATGATCTCCCCCGCAGGCCCCCCACAGATGTGCTCCTTGATGATTCTCTCCAAGATCTTCCCGAGCACCGAGGTGAGGCTTACAGGCCTATAGTTACTTGGGTCCTCCTTCCTCCCCTTCTTGAATATTGGGACCACATTAGCCAGTTTCCAATCCCCCGGCACCTGGCCAGATGACCACGAATGCTCATACAGCCGGGCCAAGGGCTCCGTGATGACCCTTGTCAGCTCTCTTAACACCCTTGGGTGGAGGGCATCTGGACCTGCAGATTTAAAAATGTCTAGCCCTTCCAGAAGATGCCTAACTACATCTGTGCTGACTGAAGGCCTGACAGAGCTATCCCCAAGATTGTCTCTACCTCTGGTAGGTGGGATATCCCGGTCCCTGTTCAAGAAAACAGAGGCAAAGAAACTTAAAAATAGCAGCTTTCTTGTCTGGTGTGGCCACCTGGTGCCCTCTTCTTGCTCCCAATGTACTTGAAAAAGGACTTTTTGTTGTCCTTAATCCTGGACACTAGCCTGAGAATCGTCTCTGCCTTGGCCTTCCTAATAGCCCTCCTACACTCACTTCAGGGCACACCCCAAGCTGGTAGCAGAGAGACAACTCAGCTCTGACTTCCAGTCCATTTCCCTAACCAATAGGCTGCTCTGCCTCCTTATACAGTCCTTGCCACATCTCCCATAGCGGGTGTTTGGGGTGAAATACAGCTCCAGTTCATGACTATAGAAACAGGCAGGTAGCAAAAGAACGACTTTGAGGTGGCTTTTCCTAAGAGACTACAAATGCAAATAAACTGATGGAGAGTTATGCCAGACATGTAACCAGGACAAACTAGATCAATGAGTCTCCTTTTAACTGATCCTTTCATCCATGTGGGAATTTCAATAGGAGCTTCCTTTTCCTTCCCTTGAGGGGCTCAGGGGATCCCAGCTGCCTTGAGGGGAGTGTCTGATATCTCTTCACCAATATCACAGGCAGGATTGAAGCATGGGTGGATCAGAACTCTCTCAGCTGCACTATCAGGTCTCCTGCTGCAGTGAAGATGGCTAGAGGGAGCGCAGGTCTGATTCTGATCCAGGCTCTATCTGACTCATACCACTGGAATTGGCAGCAGTGCCCTGTTCTGCTCTGTGCTCAGAGAACAAAAAAGCTTCAGTATGTGAGCCCTGACTCACTGCAGCTGTAAGCTGGAGCAGGCATTTTTGCAGGAAGTGCAACGCCTCTGTGGTTAAGGGTCAGCTTATTTCAAGGAACCGGGAAGTGAAATCAAACTTTGCTCCTGTCCTGGAGGAGCCATGGCTGCACATAATCCTGCAAGAACTCTCCAGGATGAAGCTTCTTGTTCCATCTGCCTGGATTATTTTAAGGATCCAGTGACTGTCGACTGTGGCCACAACTTCTGCCGAGCCTGCATCACCCAGTGCTGGTCAAGGTCGGATACAAACATCTCTTGCCCTCACTGCAGACAGGCGTTTCCCCAGAGGAACCTCAGGACGAACAGACAGCTGGGGAACGTTGTAGAAATAGCCAAGCAGCTGAACAAGCAAAAAGAAGAAGATGCTGATGTGGGGAGAGTGTGTGAGAAACACCAGGAGCCCCTGAAACTCTTCTGTGAAGATGACCAAAGGCCCATCTGTGTGGTGTGTGACAAGTCCAAGACACACAGGGCTCACACCGTGGTTCCCATTGAGGATGCTGCCCGAGAGTACAAGGTAGGGGGCAATCTGAATACTGTAACATGTGACAATATCATTGTACCACAGGGTTCCTGATATTCTGTGCTGCCCTGAAGGAACTGCATCACTTGATGACAACCCAGAAGGGCAGCAGGTAGCAATGGATCTAAGTCACCTTCACACCAGGGTGATTGGACGGGGCCCAAAACCAATTCTCTAAGGCAGGGGTTCTCAAACTGTGGGTTGCAACCCCCCAGGCAACTTAAAAGGGGCCCACAAACTTCCCAGCAGGTATTGTGGCAGTGTGGGGAGGTGGTGTGTGGCAGTGGTGTGGAGTGGTGGATGGTGGCGGCCTCTCAACCTCCCTGTCCCCCACCGCCGCCATCCAGCACTCGGGATCACGGTAGCACAAAGTTTGAGAACCCCTGCTTTAAGGTGTTCTAAAACAGAGGTGGCCAACCTGTGGCATGAGGGCCACAAGTGACATGGACAGCCTCTGTGTGGCACACAACAGTTCAGGAGGAGGAAAGGCAGCACCGTGGCAGATAGAGCAGGGAGAAGAAAGCAGAGCAGCAGATTGGATAGGAGAAAGTGATCAGCGTAACAGTCTGGGAGGGTAGGAGGCTGGTTTGTGGCATGCCTGCTAAAAAGGTAAGCTGGGTCTGGTGCCTTTTTCCTTCATTGGTATCCCACAGCATGAAGGAGTGAAGCTCTTCTTCGGAATTCCAGACCCACAGCGGCCTAGTTTTCAAATGAGCTAGCTAGTAACCACAACTGACCCCTCTGTTATGAGCATTTCCAAAGCATTTTCACATTGCTTGTTCACACCGATACAGCCTTTGTGGGGTTCCTCAAACAGAGGGGGACTCTTGGGTGAGGACTTGGACTTTATGTCTCTCGTGGTATTTGCATTTGCTGGAGCAAACTAGGGGTGTGCGAAGCAGGCCCTATTCAATTTGGATTTGGAAATTGCCTGAATCGGGGACAATGATCGATTTGTTGATTTGGATCATTGTCCCTGATTCAATTTGGCCAAATCCAAATCTGAAGATTCGATGCTGATTCAGAGAATCAGCAATTTGGACATAGACACAGCTTTAAATGTTCTTTCTACATACCTCGAGGTACCAGCGAGGTACTAGGATGCTGAGATGGATGGAGTGTCCCACAGGTCCACTTCTGGGTCTGCTGCCCGGCATGCCTGGGACCCCGCCATACTCTGGTGGGATACTCCATGCGCCCCAGCATCGCAGTATTCATGAGCCGCCTACTACCTAGAGGTATGTAAAAAATCATTTAAAGCTGTGCCTATGTCCAAATTGCCAAATCTTTCCGAATCTCTCCAAATCATTTGGAGGGTTCCGATTCAATTCAGAGAGATTAAAGGATTCTCTGATTCGATTCGGATTCAGAGATTCAGCCACCAGATCAGGCTGAATCTCCACCAAATCAAATCAGGGCCTGAAGCTTCACACAGCCCTAGAGCAAACCCTGAAATAGAGGGACAAACCTCTACCCCATGATCCCCTTTCTTTTCAGTGCAGAAAGTTCATCTTATTTATGCTTCCCTAAATCAGATGTTCTTAGGCAGATTGTTTTGAAAATTCTGGGGTGGAAGCAGAAAGCAGCTTGGCAGACAGGGAGATGGACAGGGGTCTAAAAGAATTACTTCATATTCCTTTTAGGGTTGCCCTATGTCTGGGTTTTCCCAGACATGTCCTCTCTTTGGATCCTCCCATCTCTGTCCAGGCAGTTTTTTGAAATCTGAACAAATGGGATGTTTGGGATTTTGCTCAACCCAAATAACAGAAGTTCTCTTATTCTAAGCTGAGGTTTTTTTCGGGTTTTTTTTTGGGAGGGGTGTGTTTTTTATAGTTCCAAACAATAGTTAGAACTACCACTCTAGATTACAATTATCCCATTCATCTATCATGGGTTTAGTACGCAGGTCAGTGGATGTTTCTGTCTGTCTGGAGCACATATATAATATGGAAACTTGGGCAAATAACTAGGGAAGAATATAAGAGCATTGCTCAGGCATGCAGGGATGAAGTCAGGAAGGCCAAAGCACAATTGGAATTGCAGCTAGCAAGGGATGTTGAGGGTGACAAGAAGAGTTTCTACAAGTATGTTGGTAGCAAGCGGAGGATCCAGGAAAGTGTGGGTCCCTTACTGAGTGGGGGAGGCAACTTAGTGACAGAAGATGCAGAAAAGGCTGAAGTGCTTCATGCCTTTTTTGCCTCAGTCTTTACAGGTAAAGTAGGCTCCCAGACTACTGCACCAGGCAGCACAGTTTGGGGAGGAGGTGAGCAGCCCTCAGTGGTGAAAGACCAAGTTAGGGACTACTTAGTAAAGTTAGACACATCCAAGTCTAGCACCTGAGGGTGCTGAGGGAGTTGGCTGGTATGATTGCAGAGCCATTGGTCATCATCTTTGAAAACTCATGGTTATCAGGAGAGGTTCCAGATGATTGGAAAAGGACAAACACAGTGCCCATATTTAAGAAAGGGAAAAAGGAGGATCCAGGAAACTACAGACCAGTCAGTCTCATCTCAGTCCCTGGAAAAATCATGGAGCAGATCCTCAAGGAACCCATTTCTAAGCACTTGGAGGAGAAAGTGATTAGGAACAGTCAGCATGGATTCACCAACGGCAAATCATGCCTGGCCAACCTGATTGCCTTCTATGATGAGATGACCGGCTCTGTGGGTGCGGGAAGCCCAGTGGATGTGATATACCTTGATTTTAATAAGGCTTTCAATACGGTCTCTTTCAGCAGTCTCACAGGCAAGCTAAGGAAGTACAGGCTGGATGAATGGACTGTAAGGTGGATAGAAAACTGACTGGAGCATTGGGCCTGGAGAGTAATAATCAATGGCTCAATGTCTAGTTGGCAGCTGGTATCAAGTGTGCGGGAAGCCCAGTGGATGTGATATACCTTGATTTTAATAAGGCTTTCAATACGGTCTCTTTCAGCAGTCTCACAGGCAAGCTAAGGAAGTACAGGCTGGATGAATGGACTGTAAGGTGGATAGAAAACTGACTGGAGCATTGGGCCTGGAGAGTAATAATCAATGGCTCAATGTCTAGTTGGCAGCTGGTATCAAGTGGAGTGCCCCAGGGGTTGGTCCTGGGCCCAGTTTTGTTCAATGTCCTCATCAACGACATGGAAAATGGCACAGAGTGCACCCTCAGCAAGTTTGCAGATGACACCAAGCTGGGGGGAGTAGTAGATATACTGGAGGGTAGGGCTAGGATTCAGCGTGACTTAGACAAATTGGAGGATTTGTTCAGAAGAAATCTCATGAGGTTCAACAAGGAAAAGTGCAAAGTCCTGCACTTAGGACAGAACAATCCCATGCACCGATACAGGCTGGGGGCTGACTGGCTGGGCAGCAGCTCTGCAGAAAAGGACCTGGGGGTCATGGGTGTCTGGTGCCTCTTGAGTAAGGGGTCAGCGACCGGGGGGCCACGCCACTTCCAGAACTTCCGCTTTTGCTGGCGGCACCGCTCCATGGCTGGCGCTCACAGTGGGGACACCGGTGCTCCCGCCTGCCCGCTGGCTAAACAGGGAGTGTGGCCTGACGGGGGTATACTTGTGCTACCCGCATCACCCCTGCTGGGGGTTACAGTGAACAATAGGCTGAATATGAGCCAGCAGTTTGCCTTGTTGCCAAGAAGGCTAATGGCATACTGAGTTGCATCAGTAGGTGTGTTGCCAGTATGTCAAGGAAAATGATTATTCCCCTCTATTCAGCACTGGTGAGGCCACATCTGGAGTACTGTGTTCAGCTTTGGGCCCCCCACTACAGAAAGGATGTGGACAAATTGGAGAGAGTCCAGCAGAGGGCAGCAAAAATGGTGAGGGGGCTGGGGGACATGACTTCTGAGGAAAGACTGAAGGAACTGGGCTTATTTCGTCTAGAGAAGAGAAGACTGAGAGGGGACTTAATAGCAGTCTTCAACTGTCTGAAGGGAGGTTAGATAGAGGATGGAGGTGGACTATTTTCAGTGGTGGCAGATGAAAGAACAAGGAGCAATGGTCTTAAGTTGCAGCAAGGGAAGTTTAGGTTGGATATTAGGAAAAACTCTCTCACCAGGAGGGTAATAAAGCACTGGAACATGTTACCTAGAGAGGTGGTGGAAGCTTCATCCTTGGGGGTTTTCTTAACCCAACTAGACAAAGCTTTGGCTGGGATGATCTAGTTGGGGATGGTCCTGCTTTGAGCAGGGGGTTGGACTAGATGACCTCCTGAGGTCCCTCCCAACCCTAACTTTCTATGATTGTATGATATAAAATTAAATTCTGCTGGTGGATGTAATTTCTTCTTCCATTTAAGGTGAATTGTGGCATTTGTAGGATAAAACAGAAAATTATTATTCATATATGTTTGTACAGCATGTATGCTTCTTTAAAGACAAATCCTGGGAGTGCTTCTGTAAGTTGTATCACTTTAGGGATAAAAATAACTTGGAAAAATAGCCTTCAATACAAAACGTTTGCTTTTTTCCACAGGATCAAATTAGGAGCCGTTTGGAGAGATGGAAGCAGGAGATAACAGAGATTGAAGAACTGAAAATGGTTGGAGAAATGACAAGCCAGGAACTTCTGGTATCTACCATTGTTACTCACTAGAATTAGCCTGGGTGTTTACTCTGAGCATTACAGAGGGTCATGCTCCATGACACCTTATTCAGTAATGGTTGTAAAGTACACCTGGAGGCAATTCAGTGGAGGCCAGGCTGGGCAAAGCAGAGACTGAACCAGAGTGTTTGTTTAGTGCTGTGTGTACTTAGGTTTGATAATGTGTATTTAAAGTGCATGGGATGATGTTTCAAAAGCTCCAAAGGGATCTGGGAATAGCACTCGCATTGAAAGTCACAGCGAGTCAATGGGATTGTGCTCTTAAGCCTTTGGAAAATCTTCTGCATGTTGAATAGCCGAGTTTCCCAGTGAACAGTATGGGGTAGCGTGAATAGAGTACTCGCTGAGAATCAAGAGGGCCGAGTTCTGCTTTTGACTCAACTCTTTACCCAGATCAAGTTGTTTCCTCTCTGTTTCTTCAAGTGTTTCCTGCTG